ATAGACCTTGCTGACATTTCCAACCATAGGAAAAAGTCCTACTTTTTAAGTTTTTGCGGAGCCGCAGTGTTTGACACTGCTATGGCATTATTGGCTCCACATTCAGTTAAGACTGTTCCATGGGAAGAATTGCAGGAAATTCTTTCCAACCACTATTCCTCTAAGCCATCCCAAATTGCCAGGCGTCATGCTTTTAGGAGACGGATTCAGGCTGAGGGAGAGACTATTAGTGGGTACATGGCTGCCCTACGAACAGCCACTTTTGCATTGTGGGTTTAGACACTATCTGGAAGACATGTTATTAGACCAACTAGTTTGTGGAGTCAGGGATTTAAGGCTACAAAGGCGTCTATTGGCTAAAAGAGATTTAACCCTTAAAATAGCAATTGAAGAGTCTCAAGCTGCTGAACTATCTGCGCTTTCAGCAGCAGAAATTCCGGGAAATCCAATTAGCCAGGGCAGCTCAGCCATCCATTACGATGAAGCCTCCTCAGAAGAAGGCCTGAAGAGGCTAATGATGTAAATCGCCTCAGGCAGCAAAAAACCAGTCAAGGGGAAAATAGGCCAACCCCCCATCTACCTCCACGGCATCAGCCCATTTGTCTAAGCTGTGGGGGAAACCACCTCAGGGCCTCCTGCAAGTTCAGGAATGCCATTTGTCTAAAATGCCAAAGGAAGGGTCATTTAGCCAGGGTCTGTCAAGCAGGAAAGACTTTTGCCCAAAAGCCTCAGACAACCCAACATATCCAAAAACAAGTTGAACTGTTTTACCTGCTATCAAGCCAAGCTGACTAACAAAGGCTCTAACAAAATTAGTGTTTTTGTTTCTATATAAAGAAAACCTTGCAGGATGGAGGTTGACACAGGCTCAGCACTGTCCCTCATCTCCTGGAGCACCTTGAAACAGCTACTTCCCAGAATGGCTAAGAAGAAGCTTCTCAGCTGCCAGTTAACCCTATGCGACTACCAAGGCAGAACCATCCCAGTCATCGGAAAAGGCAACTTTTTTGTACAATTTCAAAATTTTAAAGGTCACTTGCCTTTAGTGGTAGTGGATGGTGCACTCCCTAGCCTGTTGGGGTTAGACTGGTTCCCTGCCCTTAGTCTCCATATAAGCGGAATCCACTCTATTACAAATGCTGAAGTGGACACCTTGTTTAATGACTATGATGATGTGTTCAGCAAGGGGCTGGGCTGTTATTCAGGAACCCCAGTATCTTTCAACTTGGACCCTCAGGCAGTACCAATCCGTTTAAAGCCTCGAAGGGTACCATTTGCAATCGGCCCCAATTTAGACATTGAGCTGGACAAATTAATCAAACAAGGTATATTGGAGCCTGTGGACTTTGCAAAATGGGAAACCCCAATAGTGACACCCCTGAAGAAAGACGGGAGCATGAGAATCTGCACGGATTACAAGATGTCATTGAACAAATATTTACAAATCAGCACCTATCCAGTCCCTGTTATCCAGCACCTACTACATTCTTTTGAGCCAGGAACCATTTTCGCTAAATTAGACATGTCACAGGCCTATCAACAGTTGAACTACAAACTATTGTAATGCACAGGGGTGCTTTCAAATGTAGGCGCCTCCAATTTGGCATAAGTGTAGCCCCAGGGATTTTCCAATCCTTAATGGAAAGATTTCTCCAAGGATTACCGGGCGTAGTTCTGTACTTTGATGACATTTTAATATCTGCCCCTGACAAGCCTCAGTTACTGCAGAGAGTCAGAGGAGTCCTCAATTGTTTCAGACAGCATGGCCTTAAGTTAAAGAAAGACAAGTGCACTATTGCCACCCCACAGGTAGAATTTTTGGGATACAGAATTGACGCCTCTGGTATTCACCCAATCGAATCCAAAGTAAGGGCTATTCATGAGGCATCCACGCCAACTAAAAAAACTCCAGGCTTTTTTAGGACTTCTTAACTTTTACGCTTCATTCTTGCCTCATAAAGCTTCCATTGCAGAGCCTCTGCACAGACTCTTGGACAAGCAATCCCCCTGGCACTGGGGACCTAGGGAAGCCCATGCCTTCCACGCTGTCAAATCATTACTTACATCCAATGCTGTCCTGATACAATTTAATGAACAATTGCCTTTAGTGTTAGCAGCAGATGTTTCTCCTTTTGGCATAGGTGCTGTTTTAAGTCATAGACTGCTTAACGATTCTGAGGTACCCATTGCCTTTTTTTCCAGAACTTTCTCCCCAGCTGAGCACAACTACAGCCAAATTGACAAGGAGGCTTTGGCTGCAGTTGCTTCTGTCAAAAAATTCCATGAGTTTCTATATGGACACTATTTTGAGTTGATCACGGATCACAAGCCTCTGTTAGGCCTTCTGTCTGGTGAAAGACAAACTCCTCAGATTTTGTCTCTAAGAATGACCAGGTGGAACTTATTTCTGGCTGCCTATTCCTATACACTGGTTCATCATCCTGGCAAGAGTCTATGCCACGCTGACGCTCTTAGTCGCTGCCCACTGCCTGTTCCTGTGGAAGATCCTGCACCAACTAATGCTGTTTTCCAGATCAACGATCTCAAACTCCCCATCACTGCCCTTGATATCGCTGCCCACTCTTCCAGGGACAAGGTAATCGCCCAAGTTCTTGACTGGGTGGGAAGGGGGTGGCCAGCAATTCCTTATGGCCCCGAATTCCTGCCTTTCAAAATTCGCCAGCAAGAACTATCTTCTTTGCAAGGCTGTTTACTTTGGGGAACTAGGGTAGTTATCCCTTCCAAGTTGCAAGACTCAGTTTTAAAGGTCCTGCATGAGGGCCATCCCGGCATTGTCAGGATGAAGGCCCTGGCTCGCAGTTATGTATGGTGGCCAGGCATGGATGCTCAGATTACAAGTCGGGTGAATACTTGTCAGCCATGCCAAGCTATCAGACCTGCTCCACCCACATCCACTCCAGGCAGATGGGAAGATTCTATGGCCCCTTGGTTCCAGGTACATATTGATCTGGCTGGTCCCGTTCATGGGCGTACATTCCTGGTAATGGTTGATTCTTTTTCTAAATGGGTAGAATTGACCTTGATGACCACCACAACTTCAGAAGCTATCACTAAGGCTCTATCAAGGATATTTGCTACCCATGGCCTCCCTGACACCATTGTGTCTGATAATGGCCCCCAGTTTACTTCCTGTGAGTTTGAGGTCTTCCTAGCCAACCTAGGAATAAGGCACGCACTTACAGCTCCTTTTCATCCTGCCAGTAATGGCCTGGCTGAAAGGGCAGTCAGATCAGTTAAGGAGGCCCTGGCAAGGTTTGGGCCTATAGATTGGCACTCTAGGCTTGCTAAGTACCTCCTGACTCAGCACACAATCCCCTGTGCCACCACTAATAAGTCTCCATCTGAACTTCTCATGGGTAGGCGTCTCAGGACCACCCTAGACAGACTCCATCTGCATTATGCCCCAGTCACACCCCTAGGGTCAAAAAGCCAGGCAAGGGGGTTAGCTGAGAATGACCTATGCGGGAGACCCTTTGTGGATGCCTGGGCAAATTGTGGCGGTAACTGGTCCTAAGTCTTACAGGGTCCTACTGCAAGATGGGCGCATCTGGCACCACCATATCGACCAGCTTAGAAGGTGTTGGAGTGCGTTGGCAGATGGCCCTCAAGAAGTTCCTGCAACAGAGAAACCTCCGGTGCCCAAAGAAACTTCCCTCAGATCCGACAAGAACGCAAGCCTACCTGAACAGCCATGGGTCCCTCGCCCGGAAATGCCTGAAGCCGAGACGCCAGCTTCGTCGGCACCAGAAGTTGCCCAGCAAGCAGAGAAGTTCCTTCCAGCAGCAGCTTCACCAGGACTTAGAAGATCTGGCCGCCTGCGCAGGCGCCCGAGTTATCTAAAAGACTACACATGCTCCGTTCTGGGGGAAAGGAGTGTGGTGTTCGGGAGAGACTAAGCCGAAGTTTTCACTCCGGTCCATGTTTCCAGTGGGAACACAGAGTGCTCCTATTGGCTGATGCTGTTTGACAGCCGGCTATAAAAGGGAGCTGTCAAACGGCATCAGCTGTTGTCCGCCAGCTGGCTGCCTTGTTAGCGCGGCAGCCACGGCAACCCTTTATTGTTTCAATAAAGTAACAGCTGAAGTTCGCTCCGAGTTTGCCTCAGGTTATTCCGTCGCTCCACAACAAAAACCCAACAAGTTAATGGGACAAACGGCACAATATAACTAAGCTGTAGCAAGGCAAGAAATTGTGATATTAAATCTATAATCTAGTAGAAACAAAAAACACAGCAGAAGTGTGGACTGTATTGTGCAACTGTATTTGGGGCATTAAAATAGGATTAACACTATATTGTAATAATCTAAATAGGAGATTGCAAAGGTCTTGAAAGATAGTTGCCAAATCCTTTCTAAAAGAAAGTTTCTATCATCTGTCAACTGCTCCTAGCTGCTGCCACCATCTGGTCACTGAAGATTATCAGATAAAACAAAACCATCAACTCAACAACACGCATTAGTCAGGGAAAGGGTATGCTTTCAGTAGAGCCTGCGTCTTGTCTGGTGATTTTGATGCCATAAAAGAAAAGAAAAATATTACCTATATAATGTGTGATTGCTTGTCTTAAAAAAACCAACACTTTCAATAGTCAGGAAGCAATTTAATTAGATTTGGATACAGTGTGTTTTGATTTGAGCAGGGAAGGGGAGCATCGGCGACTCCTGTCACAGATTAACAAAATGCTTTGAGGTTATTTCCCTCCTTCACAATAATATCATGGACAGGATCTCTTTTATTATGTGTTTTCCAACACCAATTGAAAAACAAAACAAAACTTGAGAGCAGTGTGTGTTATGACAAATTCCTAAGACATATTTCTCCAAACAGGTAATCTCCAGATGTGTTGGACTATGTCTCCAATAATTACGTTGGCTGGAGATCTTGAGAGCTCTAAATAATCTGTCTGGAGAATGTCATATTCAAAAATCTGTCCTAGACAGATATATTTTCACAAACTTTGGTCATAAGAAAGCACTTACCTTCTCCTGGGTTCTGATTCATTTTTGTGTCATCTATAAGAACAAAACAAAAACAAAAAAGTGAAAATGAACTAACGTAAACAAACTTTTCTTGACAAGTTAGATCCCTCTATGCTGTCTACTAATAATCCTTCCAGAAGAAAATCCAGAAGCACCATGATTTAAATTAAGTGTCTGTTTAATTAGCAGAGGCTTAGGTTCCTCTTAAGATGGTGCACTTAAGTTATTGAATTGCTACTGAATTAGACAATGATTTAAATACTACACAGTGGAAGATATAATAGCAGAGTCCTATTGTGGCTCAACCCTCAAATTTTCAGAAAGAATAGGCAGGTCATTGGTGTTACTGTGACTGTTGTAGAGTACTAGAGATTCTGAGCAAGGCTATTGATAACTTCTCCGAGTTATCTTTTTCACAACAAACCTCCCTCCCCACCATCCAACAGCTGGAAAAATAGCTGAGATTATTTGTTGCTCCACAGAACATGTTACTACAGTTAAGGAATCCATATGGGTTGCAATTACTCCTGTTGTATTTTATGACATTTCTCCTTTTTTTACATTTTATTCCTGTCTTTTTAATATATAATTCAAATTGGTAAACATGCTGATAATTTCTATTTTGCTTGAGAGAGAAACTAGCCCAAAGTCACCCAGCCAGCCTAAGGAGGAACTAGAGTTCACAGGCTGCCGGTTTGTAGGCCAGCACCTTAACTACTACATCAAATCAGTATATTTACCTATTTGTTTTTGAATGGAAACATAAGCATTAATTCTTTTTTTATACATTGCTTATTGTTAAATGGCAAGGTTTTTTTTTTAAAATAAATAAATAAATAAATAAATAAATAAATGCCGAAGCAGTTGCCCATAACAGTTGAACCGAAATGAAGTTGAACCAGATCAAGCTTAGGGTTACTTTGACGGTAACCTGGTTTGAATTCTCATTTAAGATTTGTGGAATAATAATAAAAGGATAAGTACCATTGAGAATGCACAAAGCTTTTCCCCAGGGCATTTTTTTCAATCTATTGCACTGCAGTTCCCATCATGCCCGGCCTACATCATCAATAATGTATTGGACTGCAGCTCTTATAATATCTTCCCAGCATGTCCTCTGGCTTCAAATGAATCTTTGAGGTCTTTCAAATTCCACAATTTGTTTCTTTTACAAATAAAGAGTTGGCACAGCTTTCTGAACAAATTTACATGTATAGACATACACATTCAGTAAGACTATGTAGTGGTAAAATAATAAATTTTGTGTATGGATATGTGTGTATGGATATGCATTATGCATAAAATGTGTGTATGGACACATACATCAAACATTTTTTCTTCCCTGCCAGGGTTTTAAAAAAATGAACTAATAAATTTATAGTTTTTTCTCATTTTGTTAAAAGTCAATTCTATCTCAAAAGGATTTGTCCTCTCTTTCCTTCATTGGTGAAGGGCAAATATTAATGTTCTTTTTGGTTTAGTTTAAATTAGCAAATGAAGCAGACACTATTAAGCAGCACACTTTAAATCAGTACCTGTCACTAATCTCAGAGGAGAACAAAATTTGGTGCTAATTTAGGCACATTGCACACATAATCCCGAGGAATAGAATGTCGCTTTTAAAAAATGAGGGAAACTAAGCTAAAATGGAAAGTACAATTGGGACCTGTGATGAAATACTGCACAGTTAATTTACCCCAAATGACTTTGCAGGGGTAAGTGTGTAAAAAAAAAAAAATCAAGATGGCAACCACAACCATGCAATCTAACTGCACCTCATTTGTATGTAAATCGATGCCTATTAAAAGGGGCAGGGATTAGATCACATGGTTGTGACCACCATCTTGATTGTTTCCCCTCCCCCCCTTGCATAGGAAGGCTTGCTTTATAATTCTTCCAAATTTACATATCCTAGATGATTGTTTTTCCAAACAGAAGACATTGTGTCTGCATTTGGTACAACTAAGACAATTTTGGAAGGTGAGAATTCATAGCTATACGAGGAGGAAAATCCTAAATCAATTTTGGAGAGGTTACTATATGGCTTGTAGCTTTCTTGAATGGGCTGGAATGGTGCTGAACAATCTGTAAAATAATTAAGAGAGCTGGCTGTAGAATTTGTAATTACAATAGTCTCTGATAGCCTAAACACACATGAACCACATGGCTTGTTTTAACCTCACATGGTGCCTACCTTCTGTAGTTAAACTGTCTATAAATTGAGAGGATGATGTGATGGTGTCTTCTGGAAGTGGTGTAAAGGGGCTGTGATTTGAAGTGGAAGACATATAGTGTTCATCCTCTTCAAAATCTGCACAACTCTTCTCCTCTGACTGAAACGACAACACAAAATAGAGTTTCTTTGATTTCACCTGAAGCCTTTCCTCTCACTAATAGCAATCACTCCAAGCTTCTTAGTTTAAGAACTGCAAAGGTTACTCCTCCTATTCCTAATGTCTTTTCCTTTGCTGGGTCATATCTTTTAAATTATGAATCTAAGGAGAAGGATTATAATACTATCAATCTTCAGAAACTGTATACCAATTTTTTCCTTTGCTAAAGAGCAAGGTAAAATATGTTTTAAATACCAACTTTAAATCAATAACCCCCATTTTCTGATCCCATAGGTTTGCATTTATAATATTCTGGAAAGATACAGATGCAATCTAATTGTAAAGGCTTAGTCTTCCTCCTACCTCACTTCCAATATAAATATTTTAACCATTTGTTTTACTCTGAATATATCATTTGCCCCCACCCATTTGTTCTTAGTTGTGAAATGTCAATGCTAACTTCTCTATAGACACAGTATTTTATCTCTTTTCAGTTGGTTCCTCCACATAGTCTTCAGTACCTGGAAATAATTGATGAATGGTTGATAAATGGTAGCCGCTTTTCTAACACTGTCTTTTGTTTCTTTATCTTTGTCCAGAAATATAATCCAGAGATATGCCCACTACCCTTTTTGATACTGCTTTCTTAAACTGTTTAGCTGATCAAATGCCCTGGACATCTGGAGCTGATTAAGAAAATTGGATCCAAATAAATATTCTTTCACTTCATTCTCCCAACTAGATTTTTAGTTGAGTGGGGTATACGGTGTGTACCAAAAGTCAGACCCCCATATAGTAATCACAATGCAGGTAATCCTTGATTTACGACCACAGTTGAGTCTAACATTTCTGTTGCTAAGAGAAAGAGTTGTATTGCCCAATTGTTAAATCAATTGCTGCAGTTGTTAAAATAAGTAGCAATTGTTCAATGAATTTGATTTGCTCCTTGATTTTGCTTGTTAGAATATTGCAAAAGGTGAACACATCACAGGACACTGCAACCATCATAAATATGAGTCAGGTGCCAATCGCTCAGATTTGATAATATGATCATGGGAATGTTGCAACAGTCATAAGTATGAAAAATGGTCATAAATCACTTTCTTCAGCGCCATGATAACTTCAAACAGTCACCAAATGAATGATTGTAAGTCAAGGACTACCTGTATGTTTCATTAACTTTTTTTTCCCACAGAAAATATTATTGTACTTAAGAATATTCAAAGTCATGCATCAAAAAAATAAAAAGATGTTTGGAAGAAAATGGTAATTAATTCAAATATTTAAATTTAATGTATATAATAAATTGTTTATGGGACTGACTTTTGGCACACCTTATATCTATTACTTCAAAAGTTCCATATTCTTTTCTTCCACTTCTATGCTATCTTCATTACTGCTCCACTCTTCAAACTTCAACTGTGCAGTCCAATAGTTTTCCTTTTCTCTTTTCCTAGTTTAAATATCATGGGAATCCCTTAAACTTTCCTCTACAATTTTCTTGCATAATCTGCAAGAGTCAGTAAAATCCATCTTCCTATTTTCACAAGCCCTGCAAGTATGTGTGCTAAATTGACATCTTTTTCTCCAGAAACTCAAGTGACATACATAGCATTCTCTCCCCCAAGTTGTTCCTCATAGCCACTTGGAAAAAGGTTAAGTTGAAAGAGAGCAATTGGCCCACAGAGTTTCCATAACTGAGAGTGGACCTAAGCGCATCTTAGCTACCACATGTCTAGGAACTCATATTCTTCTCAATTAATATAGGTATGATTCCATGCCACTGCCTAACTTTACAACCCTGGCTCAGCTGCAGGAACTTCTCTGATACTGGGGTGGGTCTCATATTGTTCTGCTATTTAGAGGCAGGAATTTATCCAATAAAAGGAATTCTTGTTTCATCTGTTTTTTAGCCTCTAAATGTCAATATTCTTTAGGTCCTATAAGGGAAATGTTGACTTGATAAGTTTTGCCCCACTCCCTCAAGAAAGGAAGCTAAATAATGAAACATGAAAATGACAAATTTATCTTTTCTCTTGATGAGGTACAAATTCTATGCAAAGCACCTATTTCCCCCTCCCCCCAGTTTCTTTTGTTTCCCTTTAGTGAGGAATGGCGATGAGGAAAGTGATTTTTGAAACTTGTTCTCAACATTTCTGGTTTGATGAAATAAAAATGAGTGTGGATCATTTTCAACTTGATGTTGAGACTGGACAGAGAGAACAGTGGAAATGCAGAGTTGCTCATTGGTTAGCATTAAGCCAGAACTGAATATTTTATCTTTGTACATCTTCATTATCTATAACCATTACTTCCTGGCCGCAACCGTATTCAAGCCACTCTTCACGGTATCGGTCAAGCCCATTGGAGCACCTACAAAAAAAGAAAGCATAAGAGTTGATGCTAAAACAAAAATGATGTTTGTTAGATGATGTTTTTACTGGGAATGTTTTTCCTAAGAAATCTAGGAAATAGTAAGATATTCTTTGTCTCCTTTTGTGGCTATGGCTAAACTAAGCTAAAGTAGAATTATTTATTGTTCAGTCAGTGTGCTGCGGGAATGTAGTATATTATATGCAGGGAACAACTGTGTAGTGTAAATCCCAGTTTAACTAACTACGTAACCAAACCTCTAGGTAGCATTTTCTTGCATGCTTCCATTTTGCTGCATATGCTCATGCATATGCAAATATACACATGGAAAACAAATGCAAGTGTAATGCACGAAGAAAGCATATAACGCACTCTATCTCATGGGGAATTATCCCACCACTGCATACACTAAGATTCATAATGTTTTCAGTTTGGTAAGCAGGACACTTTTGAAAGACCCATACATGAGGGGCTTCCACTTGAAGAAGTCTACATCAAAGTGCCAGAATTAAGTCTTTATGAAGTTATTTTATGAAAAACTGCAGCCACTTTATCTGAATTATTCTCTCTTTCATCTTCCCTCTCCAATTTTTGAGGCTTCCACCCACACACCTCTAAAATTATAGCTTCCTGAAGAGGTTGTAAGCTTTTTGCTAAAAAGGTCTGCTGCTACAGTTGTCAGGCCTTTGTAATAACAATGTTGGCATCAGAGCAAATATTTGGAATCTCCATCTTCTGCATGCTGTGCTAACAGAGGAAAGCCCTAGGACCATCTGGTCCAAACTACTTGGAAGGGCGAAGTGATTTTTTAAAGTATGGTTTTATTATCAGAATTCCCAGCTGGATTTAGTATACCAGACACATGGACACCAAATAAATATAACAAACAGACAAAAAGGGCTTTATTTAAGGAATTAGGGATTCCATTCCAGTGCAGCTGGGTTCGAAGCATGTAAATGTTCCCTTAGCTACTTTGGACTCTTGGTTCTGTACTGATAACAGCACATCATGATTCCCTTGAAGAACCCTGCCTCACCACAACCAATGGGGTTGTGATTCCCAAAGGAGCCCAAACCTAGCCTATTTCTCCTGCCTAATCATTAGACTGTGATTTGCTGCATGCTCTGAGGAGCTTGGGAGGCAGAAGATGTGGCAGAAAATCAGTCTCCCCCAACACACTCAAAAGTCATGAGCTATATGTTCACATGTGGATTGTTCCTGATAAAAAGATGCCCAGGAAGAAAAGAACCTAATTTCTGATGCTTGCAGAGCTGTTGCCTTGCAACTGTATAATTTTAGACAGCTTGCTGAGCTTTTTGGGGAGTATCCTGTAACAAATGTGGGTATTGGCAGCATTCAGCATTTCCATCTTCATTTCTGAATGCATCAAAGAGAGTATATTTTTTTCTGGAATCTTCGTGAATTTTTCTTGGAATTCAATTTAAAGTTAACTCATGGATACATTTAAGTTAGTCCACACATTAATTCCTCATTTCTCAGAGTGCATAACAAAAAGTGTATCTACTTTATCAAGTATATTACTTGGGACAATATGAACAGCACACCCTACTAAGCTAGATAAAAGGTTGTGGAAAATACTATGTTTTAGAAAGATACTGTATTTGCTACCAGAAAAAAGGACTACATGCTTTATTTGTTGCACAAATGCATTAGTGCTCTTGTAATATTTAGATTATATTTATTATCATTCCTCCAGAACTTAGACTGGCCCCCACTCTGATCCTCTTTAAATAAGCCCTGAAGATGTGACTCTGCCAGTGGACCTGGGGAACCAAGAGTGGGATAGAGCCACCCTATCCTGCTCTGATATGGGTGACATGAGTGTGTGTTGTTGCTGGGAGGGCGGGGAGGTTTATTATTTTATTATTTGTATTTTTTATTTCTTTTATATTGTGTTTTTATTTCCTTGAGTTTCATGAGTGAATAGGTGGCAATATAAATTTTCCAAATAAAAAATAAAATAGAACTGGGGGACAGATGTTGAGGCTCTCACTCCACAGAAAGCAAGAGACTCCCAAAATGCAGTTCTTCCTCCAAAGCACATCTAGTATAATTCTGCTTTGTGGACCATAGAGAGACAACAGGAGCCTTGAACTTGATAATTTAACTGTACTACTATTTCTCCCCAACTTGATGACATCTATGTCACTGTCGATTCACATGACACATTCGCCAGCCTGAAATTTTGCTGTTATTTCCCCTCAATGTACCCACAAACCACCATCTCCCCTGGCTTTTTCTGTTGCTATAGAGCAGAGGTCTTTGAACTTGGCCACTTGAAGACTTGTGGACTTCAACTCCCCAAATTCCTCAGCCAGCTTTGCTCTGGGAGTTGAAGTACACAAGTCTTCAAGTTGCCAAGTTTGAGGACCCCTGCTATAGAGTTTGGGGAGGTCTAGCATTCTGCCAAGCAAAATATAATTCAAATATATGTTAACTTCCAGATATGAATGATTTCCTCTATGGATAGATGAGAGGATAAGTCATGTCTATGAGTGATTGGAGCTGGAAAAGCAGCCTAATGAAGGGACTAAAAAATAAGTTATACATTTAGGCAGACTGCAGCAACGATTTAATTGTTTAGCTCTTCAGTGAAGATGGGATTTCTGGACAAGAAATGACTGAAATATTTTTAAAATATCTCAAATATAAAGGAATGGACAGTCCATACATGCAGCACCCATCACAATTGCAAGGTTTTGTTTTGTTGTGGGCATCATGGACGTTTTAAACACAGCATATATAGGATCAATCTTTTTTTTTTTTATTGTTGCATATGTCCAATAAACAGCAACTGGTTTTCAGAAAAATTGCATCACCACCATGTCTCACACATGAAAGAGGCTGAAGGGTCAATCCTGCCTGGATAGCACACTGAATGAAAACCTAAGGATTTATTTTCCACTTATCTTGTATTTCTAATTCAATAACAAGTGACAAGTTTTAGATAACTGAGGGCATTATTTAATAATTCCTGGACCAGAGAGGGGAGGGGGGCACAGAGAATTAGTGATTATGTATTAAACCTTGGAGAGGTTATTCTTCTTGGAAATATGTTAGCCATACAGTATTTTACAGGGTTTTTTTTCTCCCCCTAAAGGATGGGAAAAGAAATTTTATAATGTATCTGGAACAGATACAAAAAAGACATTGCGGGCATACGGGGCTCACCAATTCAGGTGTTCTATGCTTGAGCTAAATTTCAACATTTTATTAAATTTGTATATATATCAAATTTAATAAAATATATCAGTATATCAGCTATATATCAGCACAAATAAATTTCAAAACATTGTCTTCTTTAGTCATATTTTTTGTTGAAGTATCAGCATAGACTTCTATATGTGGAAAAACAGTGTTTTTATATCCTGGAGACTTGTACCATCAAAAAACTCGAGTGGTGGACACTTCCGGTTGTCGGCTTTGCTAACAGCAGGGATTCGCCTTCTCTGCGATTCCTGCTGTGCTAGCCGCCTTGGTGCCTCCGATCCTGACAGATTTGGAGGCTAAGGCTGCCCTGTTGGGGCAGCTGAAGAGAGGGGGGATCCGGACGGGGGTGAGGAGCATCGCAACCCCCCCCAGCCGGCAATAACCCCCTTTTCTCAAGACGGTTCCAGCGGTGGTCTTTTATGGCCACCATAAAGAAGCCGGCAATTGGATAATAAAGAATGCGCAGGAGGGAGAAGGAGTTTTCTTTTTCTTTTTTTAAAGAAAGTTTTTTCTTGGTTGAACTGGGACCTTAAGGATATATTTAACACCTGGGAAAGTAATGACTTGGAAGCTATTGTTCCCGATTGATGTTTTCAGCTGCGAAGAAAAGTGACGAAAAGGGGAAGTTACTCTCCCTCCCTTATGGAATTAACAAATGGAAAAGGGAAACCAGCCTTTTGGTAGAAGGTAAAACCTAAACTTCTTTGTTATAAGTGGGAAGGGAGAGGCTTGGGAAAACAAATTTTTACTCTAAGACTTTGCTGGAGGAGATGCCTTGAAGATAAAGAGAATTTTCTTTCCCTAATTTGACTTCACCCCTAGAAGAGAAACTGTAAAAAGAAGAAGCTTCTACTCTGCCTGGACTGTTTGATGACTGTGGGACTTTGGGACGTTTGGGAACTGTTTTAAGCCTTGAAATAACTGATTGGTTTAAGAAGAGGATACAGAAAGAGAAGAAGAAACTTTAAAATGGCTCTATCTCTTGATGAACTAAAAAAACAATATCTAAAAACAAAGAAAGAAGGCAAAGATGTTATGGGAGAAGCCCTTTGTTTCCTAGATATGGTGCTTGCTATGTGTCAGCAAATTAAACAACAGCTGGAAGAAATCGAGGAAGAAGAAGCCATTTTTAATGAACTAAACGGTGTGACTAAGAAAGAAAGGAGAAAGAGAGGAGCGAAAAGGAAGGACTTAAGAAATAAAAAAATATTTATGAAAGAGAAAAAGAAGATGCAAAAACAACAGAATGCTAGAAAGCAAAAGGAAAGAGGAATGCAGAAAGGGGAAATTAAGAAGACAGAGGTTTTGAGAGGAGGGGGTAAAAAGTTTAGGCGGGCTAAGAAGGAAAGGGAAAAGGGGGAAAAAAGTTACAAAGATATAAGACAAGATGGAGATAAGGGAATTTTTTTCAGGGATAATGGGTAATATATGGGTTTTTTTTAAAAAGGGGGGGGGGATTCTGCAAAGTACACATGAGTATTGTAATAGTGGTATTTGTATTATAAGTAGATAACCAGAACTTTTTAAGATCTAATAAAAGGCTAAAATATCAAGGTATAACTTTAAAAGGTTTAATAATGAATGATAATAAGTTTTAATAAAATACTAAAGGGAATGTTTAAAATATTAGTTTGAATATAGAGTTTAATGGATTAATGTGTTGATTGTTATGGATTTATTATTGTAGTATTGGTTTTTGAAATAGTAGAATGTACTAAGCAGAATCTGATTGGGATTTAGGTGTTATTTTAAATTTTAACTTAGGGGAATGATAGAAAGGCATCATACTCCGATTAGTGATTCCAGGGGAAACTATTCTTTCTTAAATTGGAAATGAGACAGATGTAAATGGAGAAATGGACAAAAGATATAAAAATATTTTTTTTAAAAAAAGCAAGATTAAATATATAAAACAGAATTAAGATGAGGCAAAAGTGGAGAGGAGTTATATAATAGATATAGAATGGTAAATAAGATGGGTAATGGTATATAAGAAAAGCGTGAATACAACTGAGTCCATACAAAAAGAGGTAATCTGGGGCCAAGTTACTTTCTAGAAGAAAGCTTTATGTTTTTTATGTCTGTGTTTTATGTGTGTGTGTTTAATTAAGAATTAAATAATAAAATCTCGGAAGAAGACTAGATGAGAATAATTATAAACAAGCCAGAGGGAAATATAAAGTTGATGACTGGATAGCAGATAAATCAGAAAGGAAATATGATTGAATAATGATTAAAGAGAAACAATGTGGAATTTGGTAAAGGGAATTTACGTGTTTATATGGAAATGGGATAAATTATAAGTATGTGATATAAAGCAATATGTTACCTGCCTTGTAAGGATTTACAATGGAAAGAGGTTTTATGTTTTTAATGTTTAATGATGTTTTGTCTTGTTTGTTTGTTTGTAAAATCAATAAAACTTGTTTAAAAAAAAAACTCGAGTGGTATGTGGAGACTTAAGACTAGTAAGTTTAGATATCAAAACATACCCATCTACATGCGACTGTTGTAGACTACAGAAATTCTACAAGTTAAATTTCAGGAGGAACCAGACAATTTTAACTTCTTTGAGAAGCGAATGTAGATTCCCCCTTGGGTTTAGAAGACTTACCTCTGCAGAACATGGCACCAACTACAATTGAAATTTAGGCCAGATGTCATACAGGCTTCACAGTTGTGAAGTTGGAGACAAGCTATAAATGAAAAGATGTAATGAATAAAGAATGTTCCAATCTTTTCTTTCTAAAGCTGTTTTTTTCTGTTCTTGTTCCCCCACAACTTAAGGAAGGCAAACTGAGCCTATGGGACTCTGTTACTTCATGTCCTCAAGATGAAACTAGCTCAGGGTCATTGTATGCCAGTTTAGTATGCTCTCATCATCACAGTATTCATTTTAAATAAAGAGATCAGGTTATTTTTCTTTTCTTTGTTGCATCAGTTGCTTTTGGAGCAAAAAAATCACTCAGTGGACTATATTCTGATCCTGTCGGTTGATAATTTGCTGTTACTGAAAATTCCTTAGGAGCTGAGAAATTTGGAAATATACAAATTATTTTGTAATATTTTTCTCCTCTAAAAAATGGCTTGCCTCCTGCTAGCACTTGTCCAAGGATGAACCTCAGAATTCCAGAGAAATTGGAAAGGCTGCATTGTTTTCTATCTTAACAGTAAATCTTTTGGTTTTAAATTAAGTCCTACTTTTTATATTCTTGAAACAGTATAAAAGATTTTGCAAGAACTTGGAATCACTTCCAGCTGAATACATAATTTATTTATCTATTTATTTATTTATTTATTTTATTTGGTTTCTCAATTGCTTACAAGATAATAGGTATAAGTAAAAACGCTATGAATACATGGATACATATAAGAAAAATAACAAAAACAATAGGACAGGGACAGTAGGCACATTGGTGCACTTATCCACGCCCCCTACAGACCTCTTAGGAAAGGGGTGAGGTCAACAGTAGAAAGTCTACGGTTAAAGTTTTGGGGGTTTGGGGAAGAAACCACAGAGTCAGGTAGAGTATTCCAGACATTGACCACTCTGTTGCTGAAGGCATATTTCCTGCAATCAAGTTTGGTGCTATTAACTTTGAGTTTGTAACTATTGTTTGCTCTTGTATTGTTATGGTTGAAGCTGAAGTATTCATTGACAGGTAGGACATTGTAATGTATGATTTTATATACTATATTTAGATTGGACCGAAGGCAGTGTAGTTCTAGGTTTTCTAGGTCTAGAATTTCAAGTCTGGTGGCAAAAGATATTCTGCAACAAGTAGAGGAGTGGAGAACTCTTGTGAAATATTTCTGGACTTTCTCAACTGTGTTATATCAGATATGTAATGTGGGTTCCAGACTGATGAACTATATTCGAGTATTGGTCTAGCAAATGTTTTGTATGCTCTAGTTAGTGTAATATTACCAGAGAAAAAGCTACGTAAGATTAGGTTAACAACTCTTAATGCTTTTGGCTATGTAGTTACAGTGGGCTCTAGCACTCAGATCATTTGAGATGAGTACTCCAAGGTCCTTGACAAAGTTTGGATCCTCAACAAGGTCTTGACTATTTAGCTTGTATTTTATTTTCTGATTTTTTTTGCCAATATGTAAGAAGAGCATTTATTTGTTGAGATTTGAAGTTGCCATTAATAAATATGATGTTCTTTTCCTGTCCTTGTCAAACTACAGAGCTAGTCACCTGAATTCTTTCTGGCAGTGATATCTTCATTACTAAATCTGGTAAGGTTTGAGTAGGCTAAACAATCCTTTATAGAGTGCAACTATCTTTCTTTTAATAATGATGAAAATAATCACTATTAGTAGTCAAGATAACTTTCCAATGAAGACTTGATAGCAATTAGTGATTTCACATTCCCCCCCCCATTTTTTTTTATATAGGCATCAAGGAATAATCTGAAATCTAAACTACTCTTATGCATCCTTAAGTTGCTATAGGGCTTCCACTTATGTTGAAAAGTCAATTTTCTTAACCCTAATTAATTGGTTTATATCAGTATTTTCAATCATGACAACTTTAAGATGCATTTCAATTGGCAAAATTCCCCAACCATCTTGCTCACTGTGGAATTCTGGGAACTGAACTCCACACAAAGTTGCCAACTTGGTTTATAGGAATTCAAGACAATTAGATGAATTGTATAAGTTTGATAAATAAATAAATATTTCCTTTGGAAGGGTGTGGGAATTCTCACCTCAACCCACTTTCTATTTTTGATATTTTCTTCTCCTTTCTCCTATTTTCCCTTCCTTGAAAGGTGTTGCCATCCCTCTGACAGTGACTTGCCTTCTAAAATTGTCTTGCCTTCTTGCAAAAAATATGGGGAAACAGAAAGCAAACATGGAGACAAAGTGTTTTTTTTTCTAGCTTTGGGTGCCCTCCACTGGCTGACATGGGAGAGCTCACTAAAGGACACTCAGAATACTAGTTGCTAGACTCAGTCTTGCACAGCCTTGCAAAAACAAAGGTTAAGGAGTGAAACTAGCAATGATGTGGAAGAAGCCTAATGTTTAGCTGATAATTGCACCTTAAGAGTCTGATTATATACTTTGAACCCCAAATTTGTACATAATTAGTTCAGTAAAACATTTGATTTAATCTGTTTAGGATTCAAACTGCTATTTTTATTTTATTTTATAATAATAATATTAAAAGAAAATTGCAGTCAAGAGCCTTCTACTGTATTTGACAGTAATTTTAACTACCCTCCTGTCTTTTATAGAGAAAGTTATTTATAATCACGCAGAAAATACTTTAATGATGATTTCATACTGCTTGTTAACCATCCATTTCTTTTCACTTATGCTTGAATCCTGGATTTGATTTTAGTCTATTAATGTCTGACCATCTCTTCTACCTTTTTCGCCAAAGAAGACTACGTGTATGAGATGTTGAAAAGGCTTTCTCTCAGCTCCAAGTGTTCTCGGGTCAGGCTCTGAGACAAGTGCTCAGGCGAGCCCCCAATCAAAGGAGCAGGAAAACCCCCAGGCATGGGGAAGAGAGAGCTTGCAACATTGAAATGCAAAAGAAATATATTGCTAGCCAAAGACCTATCATGTGATCCAGAGTCTAAAAATTACCTTTCTCTACAGCTCTTAAAAAAAAAAACAACCCTCTACCAATCAAAGGCTGCCCGATTCAGCAAAGAAAGGGAGGGGAGAATTTGCTGCCTCGTGTCTTTTTTTAACCAGAGGCAAAAAGATACCGGTTATGCTGTTCAATTTGCATTCCAGTTTTGAAACTTTTTCTCTTTGAACTTTGCTGAAGGTTGTTGGAATTTAAAACCCACCCCTCTCCTAGGAAAATGAAATATTTTAGGATATATTAAAAAGACAGAATATTTCCCCTAAAAAGAAAAGTAGAAACTCAGAGGCAGAAACTCAGCCCCCCACTTTTGCTAAAGGGTATTACTCTGGCCTATTTTACATAGCAAAGATCTACTGCAGGTAGAGCTATAATAGGAATTGCCTAAAGCCCTTTCATTACACCATCATCCAGCAAGGCTCAACCAAGCCTGGGACTCAGGACAGCCTCCAGAGTTTCCCCTGCATGGCCCCATGAGAGTCTGACAACTCATCAGAATACAAATTCAAATTAAAATCCTTACAGAGGACATAAAACCAAGAGTCTCTCAGCATTCTTTTCCTTCATCCAACATCTTGAAGCATATGATTTTCCTTTTCACTTTGGAGCTCCAAGCCATGTGGTCCTGTCCACCATTAAACCATCTTTCCAAACAGCCTCCATATTTCTAGTCTTTTCCCCCACTTAGAACTGAACTAAGAAGGATATTTCTCCCAACAAGGTTGACTTGCAGCATCTTTTCAGATAGCAAACCATTCCACGATACCAATGTCAGCAATTGAGATGAGTTAGGGCTGCTATCCATGCAAAGTTTTATTTACCTGAAAAGTCCATAAGCTTCTATAAAAATAGGGCTGAGCTTCCATGAAAATAATATGTTTATATTTGTCAAGGAATACAAAAAAGCAAACATAAGCACACATTAGAAAAGTAGGGGAAATTTGAGTTCTAGCCTGGTATGTGGGCAATATGTAAGTAATGTTGTAAGATATAACACGTACCCAGCAAGAATTTTTTGGGGTGTGTGTGTGAATCCAGAGTTGTCATAGCCAAAATATTTGTCCTTGTAAAAAATTGTTTAAACGGTTTACTTCACTTAATGTGAAAATAACTAATAGGGAAACATTGCGAGATTTTCTCCACAATGTTCCTCTTATATTTTAATTTTTTTCCTTCCTTCCTTCCTTCCTTCCTTCCTTCCTTCCTTCCTTCCTTCCTTCCTTCCTTCCTTCCTTCCTTCCTTCTTTCCTTCTTTCCTTCCACCTTCCCTCCCTTCCTCCCTCCCTTCCACCGACCCACCCATCCCAAGTTTGTACATCATGGGTGCCAAACTCATGGCGTCACGTTGCCATTATGTGACATATTGCAAAGTTTTTCATGGAGCTAAGGTGAGAGTGGCCTGCATATGACACATCCAGTCTGTGGGCCGCCAGTTTGACACCCCTGGGGTACATGATTACTTCCTGCCTTTGCAATAAACAATACCTAGAAAAAGCAAGGCAATGCAATCTGGTGTGAGAACTTACTGGGTAGGGGCAAAAATTCCACAGCTGATGCACTAGTGATCTTGTTGGTATCTAGTTCCACTCTATGGTACTCATATATGGTCCGATGATGAGATTCTAAAATAATTAGGGAGGAATATTACATTAAATCAAGATTCTACATTGTCTCTTACAGGATGTGGCCATATCACACCTTTCCACAAAGTTTTGCATAATTAAATATTACAATGAAACTAATGGAAGAGAATATATGTAGCTCATATTAAACAAACAACCAAGATCAGTGAACACCAAGGATTCTATAAGATGTTTTGAGTTACCTGCTAGTTCTCAGAAGGATCCACATTCGCATAATAGTCAATGCTTGAATAAAAAACAGGAATTTTCTTACCTTTTAAATTTTTTAGACTGTATCTATAAGCCTTTAACCCTACTCTACAAGTAGTCCTCAGTTTAGAACAGTTCATTTAGTGACCATTTGAGTTACAATGGCACTGAAAAATGTGCCTAGCGTCCGTTTTTCACACATGACTATTGCAGTATCCCCATGGTCACATGATCAAAATTAATATGCGTGGTAACTGACTCATATTTATAATGGTTGTAGGATTCGTGTGATCACCTTTTGTAACTTTCTGACAAGTGAAGTCAATGGAAAGCTAGATTCCCTTCACAATGGTGTTACCAACTTGACAACTGCAGTGATTCACTTAACAACTGTGGCAAGAAAGGCCATAAAGCGGGGCAAAACTCACTTAGCAACCTTTTCAGCTAGCAACATACATTTTAGGATCGATTGTCAAGTCAAGGACTGCCTGTACAAGATTTGGTGGAAGTAAAAATATCTAGACAGCTTTACATTTCCTAAAACCTAAACTATCTCCTAGACTGGCTTCTGAAGACAGACTCAATATTTGTTGGTTATTAATGATAACGGCAGCAGAACTATTTCACTGTGGAATTATCTCATTTGGAAAGTTCCTCTGGCTTTCTCTGTGGCTCTGTATTTGGATATAATTATAAACAAGAATTGCTGAGAACCATGTTCTTTGTCCATTGTGTGATGCCCAATTGTCCCTGCCAGCTCAGGCAGCTAAATCAACTAGAAATCAACAAGGAAGCAAGCAACTTTCCCCATCATCCATCCCCAGAATTTAACATGTTAATGTCTTAACAAGTTAGGAACCCAGAAACAATTCCTGCTCGTGAACAATAAGCTAGAATTTTCAGCAATTCTGGTTTATTGGTAGCCACTAAATATTTCTTTTTAATGGGCTGTTCTTTAAATTACTGATAGCTTTTAACTAAAACTGTTAATTGAATGATCTTGTAACTAATGGATGTCATTTTGTTGTAATCAAAGGTTTTGTTTTTCTTCATCATCATGCTGTAGCTTGAAAATCAATATACAGTGCCTTAAGCAGGCTTTCTGCCAGAGTGAGATGCAAGCTTACATGGTAGAAATTGCAATAGTGAGTAAGGATCAATAATGAAATAATAATAAGGATGGGTGGCTCTGAGATACTTCAAGCAGAAGAAGGAAGCTTTTCCTGGATGGAAGAAGTGATTTCCTTCTTCAGCTTAATCTTCTCCAGATACATTGAACTCATTTATTTGAATGATATCAGTATGGGGAAAATTGGACTTCATCTCAAAACTCAATTTAATTAATTTAATTTAATAGGACTTCAGCCTATTAAATTAATGTGACATAAGGTGTAAACAGTGGTTTACAAAATATAGTGGCTATACTTGCATAACATTCAAAGTCAAAGGCAAGTAAATCATATATAAAATATTAAACTCCAAATCATGGTTATGATGGTTAGGTTCACATAATATGCTAAGAGGAAAAACAAACCATTCTATAGTGTAATGTGATGGTCTGGATCACTTGATATGCTCAGTTCATTTGGTTTGCAAATCACAGAATTATTGTTGTTTGAACATAGTCCATGATTAATTCATACCTTATGAAGCCAACTGATACTTTATCAGAATCTTTCTATGAAAGCAAAATTTCTGAAAAAGAAATCTATTCTATCAGGTAGAAATAATAACAGTATTTTTTTTTGTTAGGAAAGCATTTTTAGTCAAGGAAATGGTTAAGTATGTAATTTCTTTGTCTGCTATCTCATTCTGCTTTGTAGGTCAGACAACAGTCCCAAATGTTCATATTTTTAACAAGAATTTTGCATCTTAGAAGATAAGAGCCTGTTTAGTCAGGAACGAATGATTATATGCACTATACTTCTGTTTTCTATCACCCCATTCCTTTCCCCCTCCTCTCACAGTCTGCCAAACTCACCAGGGGAAGAGTTAAGGATCATAAAAGCATCTGAAAGACCAGCTTTGACAGGATGTTGTGTAGAACTAATTTCAAGCACTGACATGGGAATCTGAAGTCAGAAAAGAGGAAAAGGCATAGACATTTCAGTCAAAGTCCAGAAAACCAGTTTATTTCTGCCAATCTTTGACGTCTCATTATTCTAGATGGCCAGGACCTTGATGAACATTTGAGAAACTCATCTTTTCTACACTAGACTGCGTACACTCACCTCCTTGTAACCAAAGACAATTCTGCCACTGTTGTACAAAGCTGCCTGGAAGATGAAACAGCCTTTGTCTTCTTTCCCTTCTAGATAAACTTGATCCCACTGGACAACAAACATGGTTCCTTTGGAAGTAGAAGGGCAAAAGAAATGAAGCACCAAAATGGGAACTAAGAACTTGAACAGTTTACTATGATTCATAAAATCCAGGAAGGACCAATCTATGTAGTGGAAGAGCCTTTTCCAAACCCACTCCTTATCCTTCCACTTGATCATAAACAGAAAATACTGGAAATGTTTTTTACTAAAGAAGGAAATAGTTTTCTCATGTTGAAATGTGCTTCCAAGCATGTACAAAATGTTTTTAATAATGAGTAACCAACAGGCCATTAAGTAATCACAGAAAAATACCACTGGAAAAAGAATCCTCATTGATTTGAACAATCTGCTTTTGCAGGCCCTCTTAATCAACCAAATATAAAGTACTGGAGGTGGGAAGAAAACTGCACTGAAAATACTTCATGAAAACATCAGTGCAGACTAAGTGGTAACCCTGGTAACAATCGTTCTAGGCACTCAACCATATCACAGGCACATACACTCAAATTCCAGGCACTAACAAATATAACTGACCTGCACTTATCACCCCCACTACTAAATACCTACTGATTATCCATTCCTAATTCTATATTTTGCCTCTTTCTAAAAAAGGTATAAGTATATTATAGAGGTATAAAATAATGCTACAACTGCACAGATTATCATAAAAAAGGTTTTATGAGTTAATTGTCAAGAACAAAACCTCTAATTAGCCTGATTCCAGCTATCCTCCATTATCACTTCCCAATAAATAAATCCTAACCATGAAAGATGAAATAAAATAAAAACATCCAAAGATATATAGAAGGGGTGTGTGTGAGAGAGATTTTCTGGAGTTTCAATTTTATTTTGCAAAATAAATATCCATTCCAGCATAAATAGCAGTGGGCAAGTTTACATGGATGTGGGATAGAAGTGGTTATCTAGTCCCGGGAAGGTTACAGAGAAGGGAAATATCATAAGAGCTCACCATTGTCAAAGTATTTGACAGTGGAGTTGCGTGAATAGCCAGGATTGAAGTTTGCCATCAGAGGGGCAATATACTGTGTAGCTGTCAGCATTCGATGAATGACATCGCCCATGAAAATGAAACCTGTTAAAAGAGCAATTGGGAGGAGCACATCATATTCAAAGTAAATTACTTCATTGGTGCTTTTTGAAAATGTTGGATATAATCCATAGTTCCAGTGCCTTCTGTTTCCTACAAATCCCAGAGACAGTATATTGCAATGCATAAGAGAAGGGAGACACTGGTTTAATCTGTGGTCGTTGGTCTCCATTTTTCATCCTAACCTCACAAGGATGTTGCGGAAACAGAACAAAGTGATTTATACCAGCAATCTCCAAGTTGATGCCTTTTAGATACATTGGACTACAGCTCCCACAATCCTCATCTCCAATCCATATTGCTGTGGGGAATACGTGACTGATCCATTTAGATTCCCAATTTGATGTTTTCTAGTGGGTTGGATTATGGTTCTGCAATCAACCTCTGTTTTCTCTCCCAAGACAAGGAGCAGATAGTTGGTTATTTGAGATACCTCATCTGTTTTCACTGCTTCACAGTTAAAATAGTAAGCACTGTTTTTTGAGAATTAAATTTTAAATATTTTTTTTGAGAATTAAACGGACAAGCAACCAAAGCTAATGGTTGACTGTTCTTTTAATTCTCAAAAAATCAGTTGATCATTGCATCACTCGGTCTAGAGGTAGGGCAGGATTATTAGTTCTCACAAGAGGAAAGTCACCCTAATCTTTAAAGCTAGGCTTGATCATTGTGGTGATTTCACACAAAATGAGAAAAAGTAGAAATTTAAGAAATAGATTGCAGATGTCCCCAGAAGCAATTTAGCTGAATTATGGGAAAATCAGAAATAGGATCAGACCAGAATAAAGCAGGCAGGTCAAGAATAAACTTTCAAAATAACTTATGTTGGTTTTAAAGTAATTTCAAGGGGAGGCAAGGGTGACTTAGGCATCCTCCATCTACGAGGAATGCTGTATTACAGTCTCTTCATATAATAAATCCAAACTATTTTGCTGTCTGAGGTGAAGGATAAAATAGTGTCCCTCTCTCATTCTCCATTCAGAAGCTGATAAAAAGTTAATTTTACTTCAAGACATATTTTTATGGCACCAATAAACAAGCTGAGGCTGTGCAAAGAAAGATGTGAAACACTGAGAATTCTGCTTTTCAGCATTTCACCAGTAGGCATCCAATACAAATTGCTGTGGTACAAACATGGCAAAATGGGCATTGCAATATCACAGTACTAACTTTTTCATCTGTGTCTAGATTCAAATCACATGTATACATCACAACACTTTTGTCATTTCCCCCACCTCTTTGTTCTACCCATGGAAGCCTATCTTGGTGTTTAAGCATCTAGAACCTGTAGGCAGTTTCTTACCCTACCTCTTCTGGATATCATTGAAGGGCAGGACTTCTGGCATGATGTTACTTGGTCAGTGACCTTTCTACTGTACCTTCATTCTTGTCTGCAATAAAAATTCTTAACTAGTGGAGCCATCTCTGTGGGAGTTCTGTCAGATTTATCAGATGAGCTGAACTAAGCTGAGAAATGTCTTGAAATCTGTGATTTAATGCCAAGTTCTGGTTGGGGAGCCTGACAGCTTTTTGTCTACTACTCCCATCATTGCAGGAAGAAAACCACGGCTTAAGCATCCAGAATGAACAAAGTGGCTATTGACCAGATTATCCCAAGATTAGAACCAAATCTCAGCTCAGATGAACAGATTAACCCAAGATCTGCACCAAAATTTTCAACAGTGGGACAGAATCAACTTTGATTCCTTGCTGTACCCATTGTTGTTTCCTAAACACCTCCTTTACCCAAATGCATTATTCCCAAGCCTATATACTGTGCAAGACCAGTCTCTGGTCTTTTTGGTTTTTGCTTCTTTAAGAATCATTGCTGGATGCCGATGCCAGATTGGAAGCACTTTTGCCTGCTTTGGATACAAATTTTGCACACCTCTATCAACTACTACAGGTAGGCACCCTCCATTTGGGGAACCAGACTGATATTGCTGCTGTTGTTACAACCTCAATCACATGATACCAAGTACTATTTGATTTCCAGCCAGATAAATATGATGGGAATTCAAAGAGACATACTGTTTCTTTGCTCAGGATAAACTTTATATCTGTCTATACCCAGATGACATTGCCACCAACTGAACTCATATAGACTTCATAATTAGCCTAACAATTGAAGGAGCTGATTCAAAAAACCCAGATTTGGACATCTGTTCAAATTCTCTGGCTAGCTGAGAGGCAGTGGTGGGATTCAGCCAGTTCGCGCCACTTCAGGAAAATTGGTTGTTAAGTTTCTGAGCAGTTTGGTGAACTGGTTGGTTGGAAGACATCATTAGGGCAGAGAACCAGTTGTTAAATTATTTGAATCCCACCACTGCTGAGAGGTATTTCAAGGATTCAGTCCACCATGCAGTTGGGGGCTAATTATGACCTATGAGCACATCACAGGGTGGTCTTGAGGATGAAATAGTGGGTGGGAAAGGACAGAGAATGATGGACATCACCTTGGCAGGAGAAGATTACATTGATGATGTCAAGGAAGAAGTGTAGGCTAAGGCAAACATGAATATAATTGGGTGATCAGTTCACAAAATAACATTGGTGTCCCTTCTCCTTTTTCTCTCTATTTTAGGAAAGAGGGAATTAGCACCTGGGCCTGTTGCTCAGCAACAGTACAGTGGTTGGAGGAAACATGAACCTGTTCTTTCCAATCTCACGCCTCCACTAAATGACTTCACTTGAAAGCCCATAGGCTCAGTCAGGTCAAGCAGCTGTAATCATTTGAAAACAGTCTAAACCATGCGTTCAACACTGCTTTCAAAATATGTACTGCAGCTAACTCTCCATATCCTGTAAGCTTTTTGCAAAAACAGCAACTCTTACGACCAGTGTATTAACCAAAGATGCTCACCTCCTGTTGCTATGGTGACCTGCCGCAAGTAATGGCCATAGAAAGGGAAATCAAAGGATAGGATGACTCTCTGTAGAAGAATAATGAGGAAAACAGCATTAGAGGTTAGAGTTGTCTTGGGTGAATTATTCCCATATTTCTTAATGCTTTAAAATGAACAGAAAATGTCAATTAGGTTTATATTCACAGGTCTTTATATTGGGTGACAGAGAGGAAGCCAAATTCGTACAAAGAAAAGAGGGTAATTTGATTACTTATACATAAATATCTTGGCATAATTTTATATTTTCATTATCTTTCATAGAGAAGATCACATGACCTAAAATGGACACTTAACATCAAAAATGTCATCAAAAAAGCACAACAAAGAATGTTCTTTCTGCGCCAACTCAGAAAGCTCAAACTGACCAAGGAGCTGCTGATACAGTTCTACAGAGGAATTACTGAGTCTATCATCTGTACTTCTATAACTGTCTGGGTTGGTTCTGCAACACAACAGGATAAACAAAGACTTCAGTGGATAATTAGGACTGCAGAAAAAAACAATTACTATCAACCTGCCTTCCATCAAGGACTTGTATACTGCACAAGTCAAAAAGAGGGCTATGAAAATATTTACAGACACCCCCCCCATAAACTGTTTCAACTCTTCCCCTCAAAATGACACCATAGAGCACCCCACATCAGAACAAATAGACACAGGAACAGTTTTTTCCCAAATGCCATCACTCTGCTAAACAAATAATTCCCTCAATACTGTCCAACTATTTACAAAGGCTGCACTACTATTACTATTAACCTTCTCATCACTCCTTATCACCCCTCCCCTCCCACTTGTGACTGTATGACTGTAACTTTTGTCGCTTGTATCCTTACAATTTATATTGACCATTTCCTAGTATGATTCGATTGCTTATTGTACCCTATGACTATCATTAAGTTCTGTACTTTATGACGAATGTATCTTTTCTTTTTATGTATACTGAGGGTATTTCCACCAAGACAAATTCCTTCTGTGTCCAATCACACTTGGCCAATAAAGAATTCTATCTATTTTCTATCAAGGTGTGATTCACTGCATGTGGCGGTGCACAGACTCCTCAATCTTCTGAAATTCTACCAGATTCTGTTACATATTTTTTCCTGTGGTGAAGCCTAGCATTTCCTTGAAGATGAAATAGTCAGCAGCACATATTTCTTGATACATATTTTTATAAAACCATAGAGTTGGTCACAGGTTATATAACAGAGCCAGCCTTTTTTCCAGGTTAGAATAGCCCCATGATGGCAAACCTATTGTACGTGTGCCACAGGTGGCACCCAGAGCCTTCTCTGTTGGCACGCGAGCTGTCGCCCCAACTCAGCTCCACCACGCATGCGCCTCCCACCATCCAGCTAGTCTTCAGGCCTCTGCTGTGCATGCAGAGTATGAGTCATGTGCATGTGTGTGGTGGCACGGGAAGCATGCGTGGGAGTTGCATATGCATGCACAGGGGGTCATGCCTACATGTACAGGGGATGGGGCACATATGCAGGGGCACACATTGCCATTTTGGGGGTGCACGTGTTGTGGACTTTGGGCACTTGATGCCAAAAAGGTTAGCCATCACTTGAATAACCATTGCTACATATTCCCCTTATGAAAAAATATTGTATCCCTTTGAAATGTTCAGAGGAAAAACTAGAGCAGAGCAATATTCAGTCTTCTCTCTTCAAAATGGCTGCATTCAAAATTTCTGACTAGAAAATAGATGCCCTATTGAGCCCAGAACTGATGATTTTATGTGCAAAATGTTATATATTTGTAAAATGGCATTTTTGCTAGCTAATAGCTTCAGCAACAGTGGATGAAATGAACTAATGGTGTCATCTGAGAGTGATGAGATACAGAGGTTTGCTTCTCTGCCCTTTAATGTGGAACAGAAACACACACACAACACATGCACACACATGCACACGGACATTGAGAGGGAGAGGAGGAGGAAAGAGAGAAATCGGTTAAAACCCAGTGATCATGTCCCAACACTTAGCTGGCTTTGGTTAATTTTGAAAAAACATAAGTAGAATTAGACCCAAGGAAAATTAATTAGGGAAAGCACTTGTAAATAAGTAAATAAATCTTGGAAGATGGCAGTGGTACTTATTTCATTCATTATATGACTGAGCATCTCAAATATATGACTCTAGGTGGCTTCCGGAGAATAAAAAAACAAAAGAAAAATATAATAAAATCCAACGAGTAATGAACAGAGAAGCTAAGATAAAACCAATTGACAACCAAGATACAACTCAGTAATACATACTGTAGTTACTATATTGACTGAATATGAACATGCCCTTAAAGATAAGCGTGACTCAAAACAGGCTTTACCTCAGGGGTGTCAGAAGAACGTGGACACAAAACAAAAAATATGAAAATCGGGCAGAGCATCAATGACTTCATTGTGACCCATCTTAATTTTTTTCAGACTCTCTTTAGACATCTCTGCTTTATTTTAAGCTTAATGAAGGAGAAAACATATATCTGTCTATCTGATGTTTATGTGTCTCATTTTTGTTCCCAGTGTGGCAGGATTTGTAGCACAGTGTATCTGGGCAAAAATTCAAAAGTAGAATAATTCTAAAGCATTTGGATCATGGTTGGGATTCAAATTTTTTAACAACTGGTTCTGGGGCATGGCTTAGTTGGTGGGTGTGGCTTGGTGGTCATGTTATTGGCTGGGCGTGGCCAACTCAATATCACTCACATCGAGGCATGCATCTCCTCGTCTGGCCTCTCATGACTGTGGGGATGCTGCAACAGTCGTAAGCATGAAAAATGATCATGTCACTTTTTTCAGTGCCTTTGTAATTTTGAATGAATTATTCCACACAAGCAAAGTACCAACAAAGGAGGGGGGGAAAACTCCAGAGAAGTTCCTGAGACAGGAAGTCTAATCCTGCCAAGAATGTAATAAGGGTTAGTGGAGAGGCAGTTTCTGTAAGCAACACCAGAATGTTTCCTTCCTGCCTTCCTTACAGGATTAGGCCAGTAATTTCTTCTAACAACTGGTTCCCTGAACTGTTTAGAATATTAACAACCGGTTGTAGCGAATCGGTGCGAACTGGTAGAATCCCACCCCTGATTTGGATACAAAAAGTTAAAATCACAATGTCAGTTTAAAATTAATTTCAAACCAACTGCTCAGTATTAATGCTATAGATATAGCAATATATATATATATATATATATATATATATATATATATAGCAATATATATATGTGTGTGTGTGTGTGTGTTGTGACTGGAAGGTTTGAGCCTGCTGTGAGCTTTGAGTCTTATGTATCAGAAGACACAGGTTCGAGTGATGAGGAGGATTTGGCATTGGGATTTGAGCCTGCTTTAATGGGAGATGCAGACGTGAGCCAGGAGGGGGAGAGAGTGTCACCATCCTCTCCAGAACCTTCCAGAATCACCATCCTCTCCAGAACCTTCCACGTCAATTATGCCTCAGGTGTCAGCAGATGATCGACAGAACGTGCTGGAGTCCTTGGGTGATGATCAAGCTGATGAATGTTGGGTTGATGTAAGGACTAGACTGAGACTAGGCTGAGACGTCAAGCACAAATTGAAAGGAAACATCAAATCAGGGACTGAGTAGAGAGACTGAAATGCCCCTTCAAGGAATATAAGGAGGCGTGTTAGCTTGGAATCCCCATTCGGGTCAAACTTTGGTATTTACATTCGCAGTTTGGAAAAAGTTTTCTGTTTGCTGTTCGGCTCTGATTTATAGTGCTGCTCGTTATCTGGATTTGCAGACAGCTTCTGGAAAAGCTGCCAACAACTCTGTTGTTTCTGATATTGTCTGTTCGTGTTTTTTCTTTTGGACATTTGGACTCTCACCTTGTGGCCACAGGTGAGACAGAATATATACATATACATATACATATACATATACGTATACATATACGTATACGTATACATATACATATACATATACATATACATATACATATACATATACATATATATATATATATGTATATGTATATGTATATGTATATGTATATG